CTGCACACCTGCCGACGCGGTGGATGTAGGACTCGACTGAAGCGGGGAAATCAAAGTTGATCACATTGCACACGTTGTGGAAGTCGATTCCTCTGGAAACGCCATATTCCTTGTCTTTTCCTCTGGAGGAGAGAAACAACAATAGTATTAATATTTAAAACACAAATAATTTGAACAAACCAAACATTTTTAAGATAAGAAACAAAATAATATTTCATGTTCGAACGTTTTGTGCATTTCGACTGCTGGGAACTCTTACTTTTTCCTAGAGTTCTTTTTCTTCTTTCCTTTCTCCTGTGTTTTCTGGGAGCATCGAGCGGGATTCTCCAGGCCCTGTTCGTCTGTGGCGATGATGTAATTGTAGAAGCCTTGATTAAACTGAGTGATAATGTGACACCTAAAAACACAAAACAAATGCAACATAAAAACAGCATTTGCTACACATTTAACATCTACAATGCGATGTGTCTGAGTTAAACAATATTCAGAGCATACATTACTGGTTAATATTATTTTACTCCAACCTCACGGCCTTGGTTACATCAGCAGGAGAGAAAAAGAGGTTTCAGCGGCGAATATAGTAACTTAGGACTTTTAATATTATTAAAACAAATATTAACTTTTTCTTTAGAATAAATAATTTTCTATTTATGTTTTACTTTTTGTTTCAGTTTCTGTCCATTTAGTAATTTTAGTGCTTCAACTTCAACTTATTTCTATTTTTTGTTTAGTTTGTTTTTCATCTAATATTAAATTTTTGTTTTATTTTATTTTTAACAATTAAAAAAAAAAAAAAATCCTGGAAGTGACTTGTCACCAGTGTTGTTTAAGTATCAAAGTTATTGTTTATATTTTGAACTAGATTTTAGTTTTTTATTATTATTTTTTTTTCCATTAAGGTTTTGCATTTTATTTCAATTTCTTACAATTTAGTAATTTTAGTGCTTCAAACTTAAGCTTACCTCTAATTTTCAAAAAGTTTTTTTTCTCCATCTAATATTTATACTTTATTTCAGTTTTATTTAACAAAAATATTTTTAGTAATAACCATGAAATTGACTTGACATCAGTTTTAAATATCACAAATTTTGTTAATATTTTGAATTAGATTATATTTTTAGATTTTCTCTTTTGACTTTAATTTTAGTTAGTTTTAAGAATTTGTTTTAGAATATAGTATATATATATGTATGTGTGTGTGTGTGTGTGTGTGTGTGTATGTGACCCTGGAGCACAAAACCAGTCATAAAGGTCAATTTTTTGAAATCATCATTATACATAATCTGAAAACTGAATAAATAATATTTCCATTGATGTATGGTTTGTTAGGATCGGACAATATTTGGCTGAGATACAACTATTAGAAAATCTGGAATCTGAGGGTGCAAAAAAATCTAAATATTGAGAAAATCATCTTTAAAGTTGTTCAAATGAAGTTCTTAGCAATGCATATTACTAATCAAACATTAAGTTGAGATATATTTACGGTAGGAAACTTACAAAATATCTTCATGGAACATGATCTTTACTTAATATCCTGATGATTTTTGGCATAAAAACAAAACCAATCATTTTGACCCATACAATATTTTTTGTCTATTGTTACAAATATACCCCAGCGACTTAACACTGCTTTTGTGCTCCAGGGTCACACATACATATATATATATATATATAATTAGTTTTAGATGTTCAAGTAAATGAATGTGTGAAAACTAACTAACTAAAATATTATAATTTTTTTTTTTATGTACTGAAACTTTACATTAAAAAGCAACAATTTTTTAATGGTTTTAGTTTGAGTTAATGATAATAACCCTGCAGCTTTAAGAAAGTAAACAGATTTAGTTGAATTTCTACTCTCCTCCCTCACCTGGAGTGAATGGGCAGCTCAGAGTTCAGGACACAAGCAGGGATGCTGAACTGCTCCAAGAACAGCTTGAGCCGGTAACAGCGGTCCACATCTCTGACGAACAGGAGCGACTTCCCTTGAACCAGGCCGAGCTTCAGGAGGGTGTAGATGAGCAGGAACTTGTCCTCCTCCTCACATCGGACGCTGTACTGCTGGAGCTGAGAGCTGCCGGGCAGCTGAGAGCCCTGGAGCTTCAGCATCACCTGCGACAGACGGAGGAAAGCGTCAGATCCAGCCAAACACACCAGCTGCTGATGCTGGCGCCGCTGCACTCACAGGGTTGTGGAGGACCAGCTCCTTCAGCGCCTGGACGTCGTCATTCAGCGTCGCAGACATGAGGAACGCCTGGTAGATCTTGGGTAAGTGACTGCAGAGGTGAACACAGACAAATACTAGATGCTGGAGCTCTATCAGGACTTCTGCAGGTGTTAGAATGCTACATTTAAGACTTTTAAAAGACATTTTTAAAACCAAATAAAAAAAAATGTAAGGAATAAATTAAAAGGAACGTCTAGTTGTATTTTCAAACTTTGAAGTGCTGCTAATACAACTTGTAACAGATCTTAATTTTTTTTTTTAAAAACTGATTTCAATCACTAGATTATGGAAATAACTTTTACTGTAGCTTCTGATTACACTGCAAAAAAAGTGATGCTCTTTATCAGTATTTTTGTCTTGCTTTCCAGGACAAATATCTAAAGATTTTTAAATCAAACTAGACGCAAAACGACATAAGATAACAACTTGTTTTCTGAGAAATTAATCAAAATGAATTGAGTTTATGATTAAAAGGAGAACAAATACTAGCCAATAGGCAGAGAAAAATCAACTTCATTCAAAGGGAAACAAGTTTTCATGTCTCACTGACAGATATTTGTATTCAGCATACATTCACTTGCTTTTGCATTTCACATAAATTAATCTTGATTTGAGGATGTTTAGAAATTTGTATAAGCACAAAAGATTTTTTTTGCAATGCATGCAACATTTAATGCCATGATGACTTTATGAATTTAAGACTTTTAAGCCGTTATTTTGTGGAAAAACAAATGATTCCTTTTAAAAACCTGCAGAAAACCGCTTTATGTAAAAAAGGGAGATGTATTTACCTTTACAAAACTCGCCGGACATAATATCTTTTGGAATATAAATCACATTTTTATCATCTAAAAGGTGCTGCGACTTATATACCTACAATTAACATGATGCACGCAAAACATGCATAAATAGCACGCATTTGGATTTGTGCTGAATGAGAGGGATACGTGAGCCCAGCTTTATTTCTGCATTTCAGTCTCACATTAATGCCTCTATAATTTATGTTTGCTGTATACTTATATTTATTCATTTCTGTTCTGAATACTGTTGAATTTAAAGGATTTATTGTGGAATGATGGGAACTAAAATACATGCTTATAATGGGTGTAAATGTTTCATTTTATTTATCAGTATTTTACATAATTTTTGAATGGAATAATGACACGTGACTTATTCAGCGATGCGACTTATTTCTCTCAACGATCCAATTTTGACTCGGGACTTATTTTCTGGAAAATATGGTATTATAAAAGGTAATACGGCTAACAAGACACATGCAGGTCATTTGTGTCCCATGCTGTTTTAATGAAAACGTACCACAGCAGGCTTTTAAGGTCCGCTTCAAACCCAAAGGAGAAGAGAAGATCCGCCTCGTCGATGACCAGCATCTCTAATGAAGACTGAAGCTGCAGGGTCTGGCCGTTAATGTGGGCTTGAACACGGGACGGTGTGCTCACCACAATGTCCGGCTTCTCCATTAAAATCGGCCTGTAAAAATATTTCATTACACTTAGAATGAGACTTAAGAGCTTGAATGAGATTAAAACAATTCCTCGATGAACTTGGTTTAACCTGAGCAGGGTTATCGTTAACTAAAACTATTCAAAACATTTTTGTTAACTGAAATAAAGTCAAATACAAATAGAAATTTGCACTAAACAAAAATGAGAAATGTTGCCTTAGCAACTAACTGAAATAAGCTTAAATATTAAATTACTAACTTAAAAAAAAGTAACCTAAATAGTAGTATTGTTAAAAAACAAAAACTAAGAAAAATGACAAGAGCACATAACAAAATTACTAAAACTTAAACAAAAATTAAAACGACAACTAGCATGTAAAAATGAAAGCCAATTCAAAATATTAACAAAAACAATGATAGTATATAAATAATTCTAAAATGTAACATTTTTAATCTGTTTTATTGAAATGAGGGTTCTTTTTATTAATAAAACACCCATTCTTAAGTCATTTCAGAGTAAATACATCCATTTTAAGACATATATTAGCAATTTTGATTATAGGTCCTTATGTAGATAGAATTTCTTTATCGGCATTAAAACAAATCTTTTGCTGTGGTACTGACTTCTGTGCCGATATATCCGCCTTCCCAGAGATGTCGGCCACTCGTACGTCTCTGCTGCAGTACGCAGTGAGCTGTCGGATCATGGATTGGACCTGCTGACCCAGTTCTTTGGTCGGGACCAGGACTAGAGCTCTAATGGCCTGCTCACGAACAGTCTGGACACATAAACTGGGTGTTATATATTTGAACTAACTCTGCCATTCAGGCCCAAGTTAGCGCAAATAACTTAAAGCCACGCGTCACCTGTTTCGACGTGAGGATTCTTTGGATGAGAGGGATGGCGTAGGCTGCGGTTTTCCCTGATCCGGTTCGAGCTCGGGCCAGCAGATCTTTCCCCTCGAGTGCCAGCGGGATGGCTTTCTCCTGGATGAGGGTGGGCTGAGACCAGCCTAAATCAGCCAGAGCCTGAGAAACAAACAAACACAGCTTCACATCCCGATCACAAGTGGACAGCACTAATAAATACATCGAAAATGTTTTGTGAATTAATTGTGACATCAACATGCAGTGACACAAATCAGGTGAAGCACATCTGAAATTCAGTTGTTACAAATGTACTTATATTAATTAAGGTGCCGTCGTGTGCTTTGACCTGCAGTTCTCCTCCAGTGCCGTAGTTGGCGCTGAAACGCGGCGGGGTTTAACGTCTCGCTCGTCTGTCTGTGCGCAAACACACGTGTGAAGATGGAGGAAGAGCGGCTGCACTTTCATGAGATGGGTTTAGACGACCACAACTCTCATGATTCCACACTCAGTCACAGCGTCATCAAACTACGCCTTTGTTTCTTTGTTTGTTTTGAATACGCACCCTCTAGCGGCGAAAATTACATACTGTGCCTTTAAACCGTCATAACGTGTCAGGTTGTTGTGATGATGTGAGGTCTGATGTTCAGGAGGGTTTGTGTCGCAGTGTTGTGGTGGGTCGTGTGCCCCTGGTGGGTGAGAAAGTGTTGGTGAAAGCGGTCCAGGACCCCCTGAAGCCCATCAGCTGGACGGCACAGAAAGTTCAGACGCTGAACGGACAGGTGGGCAGAAATGTTTTGGGCTAATATTTCAATAACATCCTCTTTGAGAAGATAATAGAAATGCACAGTTTGTTAAAAAGCACATTTCTGTGTGCATCTTAGTGTATTTGCATTAGCAATGCTTGTAATACACTATTTGTACAGTACAATGAGAATAATCATTTTGTATAGTTGTACAGTAAATAATGAAAATAATACTTATTTTTTTTCTTGATTTTGGACTGAAGTATAGTTCTTGAGGTTCACCCTTATAACTGCTATTCTGTTTTAAAGCGCAGAAATATGAATTTCCACTAAACAAACACTACCTGTCAAAAGTTTGGGGTCTGAAACTTTGTTGAAAGTCTCTTCTGCTTACCAAGGCTGCATTTATTTGTTCAAAAATACAATAAAAACAGTAATATCGTGAAATATTATTACAATTTAAAATAACTGGTTTCTATGTGAATGTAAATTGTAAAATGTAATTTATTTCTGTGACGTAAAGCTGAATTTTCAGCATCATTACTCCAGTCTTCAGTGTCACATGATCTTCAGAAATCAGTATAATATGCTGATTTATTATTATTATGTTGAAAACAGTTGTGCTGCTTCATATTTTCGTGGAAACCATTATGCATTTTATTTTTCAGGATTCTTTGATGAACAAAAAGATGAAAAGAACAGCATTTCATTGAAATAAAACTCTTTTTGTAAATATCTTTACTGTTACTATTGATCAATGCATGCTAGCTAAATATGAATTTATTTGGTATGGAAAGGTGATGTACATGAAATTGTGCACATAAGTTGTCGACTATTTTATGAGTTATTTCTAATATTAACATGGGCAAACAATGAATATCTGTAACAGTGAAAGGTTAATTTTGCCTTATAATTAAATTTCGATTTATTAACATTTATATCAACCATCAATATTTGTTCTGTGAAAATGTGAGTCACTACCATGTTGTTAAAATAGTATTACCATTTTTAATCTACAATGACAAAAACATTTAAATGTTTGGTTTCAAGATGCATGTAAGGATGCTGCATAATTAATGACATGAGTGTATAATGTTATTTTTTATGCCTGATCTTCAGAAGGTTTGTCTCTTTCTCTGGTTTCTTTCCGTCAGCCCTTCAAATCTCCCCCTCCGCTGCTGCCCTCAATGTCATCTAATCCAAAGCCTGGCATTTTAGGGACCAAACCGCAACCTCTGCTGAAATCTCCCAAAATACCACCACTGATTCCCAGCATGCAGCCGAATCCTGGTACGTGATGCAGTGTTGTTATCGTTAACTAAAACTGTTAGGAAACATTTTTGTTAATGGAAATAAAGCTCAAATAAATTACATAATAAATATTAGATGGGAAAAAACTTGGGAAGTACAGTGCTGGTCAAAATAAAATGTTCAATGTTTAAAAAAAATAACACTCTTCTGCTCACCAAGGCTGCATTTATTTGATCAGAAATACAATAAAAACATTAATATTTTTTAAATTTAAAATAGCTGTTTTCTATGTGAATATATTGTTAAATGTAATTTATTTATATGATGCAAAGCTGAATTTTCAGCATCATTACTCCAGCCTTCGGTGTCACATGATCCTTCAGAATGATATCTAATATTTAGCGGTCTGATATGCGACAGGTGGTATGATGCAGATGTCCTGGAGTGGTCCGTTTGATGGTTGGGCTGGAGGACGGAAGAGACACGCTGAGGTCATGGGAGGACGTAGAGGTGGACGCTGGTGAGTCACACTTTCAGTGGATAGTAGTGTGCTGCATACTGTGCACTGTCTACTGTATACTGCATGCTGTTAAAAAAAACTATGCAGTAAGCAATGATTAAATGCATTTAAACAGCCTTATGCTACATTGACCACAGTACATTGCAATTTAATTTGGCTCCAAATCTCTGGTAGAAGTTGTCATTTTTGACCCCCTCCCTTCAACAAAATAGTGGATCACTCTGTAAATATTCATCCATGACATTTAATATTTTGGCTTTTGTCATTATTTATGTTTGTCTTTCTTTAGAAAAATAGGAGCAAAATTTTACGTTTTAGTTTCTGCAACCTGGTTGATTGATTTGAATTGACCCATGAGTTGCATCCAGTTATATCATTTACACAGAAATGACAATTTTGCATTTTTTTGTTTAATTTTGCATAGAATTTTTAGCAGTCTGATTAAATCAAAGTCAAAGTTGTGAAAACTGAGATCAAGTCAAAATTGAGGTTGATGATGCATCTGTATAGAACAGAAGCAGAACAGAAAACAGAAAGAGCTTTATTGCCAAGTGTGTTTGCACATACAAGGAATTCGTTTTGGTGACAGAAGCTTCCAGTACAGAGATAACAGCAACACACAGATAATAAAAAATAAATGTCACTGAATAAAATACACGTGTGTGTGTGTGTGTGTGTATGTATATATATTTACAAAAATTGACAAAATAAAATAGAATTAACAAGGAATGGAATAAGATGAAGGGTAGTATCAAATAAATAAGAGGTATTGCACATTTGTACATTTTAGTTTTGAACAGTGGGGAGAACATTTAACTGTTCATAAAGTAGATTGGGCCTGGGGGAGGAAACTTTTTTTGTGCCTAGCTGTATCATTCCTTATACTAGAAATGTAAGCTTACGTTGAGTGCATTGCAATGTTGGATACTTTATGCTCATCAAGGATGCATTAATTTGATTAAAAATACTGTAAAAATTGTGAAATATAATTACAATTAAAATTGCAGTTTTCTATTTGTATGTATTGTAAAATGTAATTTATGTCTGTGATGCAAAGCTGTATTTTCAGCATCATTCCTCCAGTCTTCAGTGTCACATGATCTTCAGAAATCAGTATAATATGCCGATTTGCTGCTCAAGAAACATTTCTGATTATTATCAATGTTGAAAATGGTGAATCTTTTAGTGGAAAGTGTGATGCATTTTATTTTTCAGGATTCTTTGATGAATAGAAAGTAAAAAAAAAATCATTAATTTGAAATAGAAATCTTTTGCAACATTATAAATGTCTCTACCGTCACTTTTGATCAATTTAATGCATCTTTGATGAAAGTATTGATTTCTTTCAAAACGTTAGACGCTGAACGGACAGGTGGGCAGAAATGTTTTGGGCTAATATTTCAATAACATCCTCTTTGAGAAGATAATAGAAATGCACAGTTTGTTAAAAAGCACATTTCTGTGTGCATCTTAGTGTATTTGCATTAGCAATGCTTGAAATACACTATTTGTACAGTACAATGAGAATAATCATTTTGTATAGTTGTACAGTAAATAATGAAAATAATACTTAGTTTTTTTCTTGATTTTGGACTGAAGTATAGTTCTTGAGGTTCACCCTTATAACTGCTATTCTGTTTTAAAGCGCAGAAATATGAATTTCCACTAAACAAACACTACCTGTCAAAAGTTTGGGGTCTGAAACTTTGTTGAAAGTCTCTTCTGCTTACCAAGGCTGCATTTATTTGTTCAAAAATACAATAAAAACAGTAATATCGTGAAATATTATTACAATTTAAAATAACTGGTTTCTATGTGAATGTAAATTGTAAAATGTAATTTATTTCTGTGACGTAAAGCTGAATTTTCAGCATCATTACTCCAGTCTTCAGTGTCACATGATCTTCAGAAATCAGTATAATATGCTGATTTATTATTATTATGTTGAAAACAGTTGTGCTGCTTCATATTTTCGTGGAAACCATTATGCATTTTATTTTTCAGGATTCTTTGATGAACAAAAAGATGAAAAGAACAGCATTTCATTGAAATAAAACTCTTTTTGTAAATATCTTTACTGTTACTATTGATCAATGCATGCTAGCTAAATATGAATTTATTTGGTATGGAAAGGTGATGTACATGAAATTGTGCACATAAGTTGTCGACTATTTTATGAGTTATTTCTAATATTAACATGGGCAAACAATGAATATCTGTAACAGTGAAAGGTTAATTTTGCCTTATAATTAAATTTCGATTTATTAACATTTATATCAACCATCAATATTTGTTCTGTGAAAATGTGAGTCACTACCATGTTGTTAAAATAGTATTACCATTTTTAATCTACAATGACAAAAACATTTAAATGTTTGGTTTCAAGATGCATGTAAGGATGCTGCATAATTAATGACATGAGTGTATAATGTTATTTTTTATGCCTGATCTTCAGAAGGTTTGTCTCTTTCTCTGGTTTCTTTCCGTCAGCCCTTCAAATCTCCCCCTCCGCTGCTGCCCTCAATGTCATCTAATCCAAAGCCTGGCATTTTAGGGACCAAACCGCAACCTCTGCTGAAATCTCCCAAAATACCACCACTGATTCCCAGCATGCAGCCGAATCCTGGTACGTGATGCAGTGTTGTTATCGTTAACTAAAACTGTTAGGAAACATTTTTGTTAATGGAAATAAAGCTCAAATAAATTACATAATAAATATTAGATGGGAAAAAACTTGGGAAGTACAGTGCTGGTCAAAATAAAATGTTCAATGTTTAAAAAAAATAACACTCTTCTGCTCACCAAGGCTGCATTTATTTGATCAGAAATACAATAAAAACATTAATATTTTTTAAATTTAAAATAGCTGTTTTCTATGTGAATATATTGTTAAATGTAATATATTTATATGATGCAAAGCTGAATTTTCAGCATCATTACTCCAGCCTTCGGTGTCACATGATCCTTCAGAATGATATCAAATATTTAGCGGTCTGATATGCGACAGGTGGTATGATGCAGATGTCCTGGAGTGGTCCGTTTGATGGTTGGGCTGGAGGACGGAAGAGACACGCTGAGGTCATGGGAGGACGTAGAGGTGGACGCTGGTGAGTCACACTTTCAGTGGATAGTAGTGTGCTGCATACTGTGCACTGTCTACTGTATACTGCATGCTGTTAAAAAAAACTATGCAGTAAGCAATGATTAAATGCATTTAAACAGCCTTATGCTACATTGACCACAGTACATTGCAATTTAATTTGGCTCCAAATCTCTGGTAGAAGTTGTCATTTTTGACCCCCTCCCTTCAACAAAATAGTGGATCACTCTGTAAATATTCATCCATGACATTTAATATTTTGGCTTTTGTCATTATTTATGTTTGTCTTTCTTTAGAAAAATAGGAGCAAAATTTTACGTTTTAGTTTCTGCAACCTGGTTGATTGATTTGAATTGACCCATGAGTTGCATCCAGTTATATCATTTACACAGAAATGACAATTTTGCATTTTTTAGTTTAATTTTGCATAGAATTTTTAGCAGTCTGATTAAATCAAAGTCAAAGTTGTGAAAACTGAGATCAAGTCAAAATTGAGGTTGATGATGCATCTGTATAGAACAGAAGCAGAACAGAAAACAGAAAGAGCTTTATTGCCAAGTGTGTTTGCACATACAAGGAATTCGTTTTGGTGACAGAAGCTTCCAGTACAGAGATAACAGCAACACACAGATAATAAAAAATAAATATGTATGAATAAAATACACGTGTGTGTGTGTGTATGTATATATATTTACAAAAATTGACAAAATAAAATAGAATTAACAAGGAATGGAATAAGATGAAGGGTAGTATCAAATAAATAAGAGGTATTGCACATTTGTACATTTTAGTTTTGAACAGTGGGGAGAACATTTAACTGTTCATAAAGTAGATTGGGCCTGGGGGAGGAAACTTTTTTTGTGCCTAGCTGTATCATTCCTTATACTAGAAATGTAAGCTTACGTTGAGTGCATTGCAATGTTGGATACTTTATGCTCATCAAGGATGCATTAATTTGATTAAAAATACTGTAAAAATTGTGAAATATAATTACAATTAAAATTGCCGTTTTCTATTTGTATGTATTGTAAAATGTAATTTATGTCTGTGATGCGCAGCTGTATTTTCAGCATCATTCCTCCAGTCTTCAGTGTCACATGATCTTCAGAAATCAGTATAATATGCCGATTTGCTGCTCAAGAAACATTTCTGATTATTATCAATGTTGAAAATGGTGAATCTTTTAGTGGAAAGTGTGATGCATTTTATTTTTCAGGATTCTTTGATGAATAGAAAGTTAAAAAAAAATCATTCATTTGAAATAGAAATCTTTTGCAACATTATAAATGTCTCTACCGTCACTTTTGATCAATTTAATGCATCTTTGATGAAAGTATTGATTTCTTTCAAAACGTTTCAAACTTTCCAGTCTGATTTGTTTCAGCGCCTCGTTCTGTTGTTTTTGTGTGACCGTCCTTGTAGACTGTTCTGTTTTTAACGTGCTCCTCTGCTGACGCGTGTCCTTGTTGCTCTTTGTGGCGTGACTCAGGGAGGACGGCGGCGGAGGGCCGTGGGGAGGAGATGCCATGCACCAAAAACGAAAAAGATGGAGGGCCGCCTCAGAGGAGGAAGCGCCCAAAAAGAGCAGCTCCGTATCCACACACAGCGCTCCGTTATTCTCCAGTTTCTCCAGGGACACGTAAGTCGGTCCGAAACAATGCGGGACGCTCTGATGAAGCGTAAACTCATTGTCATTTCCTCTTGATTCTTTCAGCCAGGCCTGTGATTATCTGGAGCTTCAGCGGCGGTACCCACACCTGCACCTGCCCTCCAACCTCTTCCACCTCCAGCTGTGCTGGACCGAGAGTTTCCCACTCGACCAGCCTCTTCCTCTGAGAGGACCGTGTCACTTTCACGTGGGAGCAAACCAGCCGGAGAGTGAAGCAGATGTTTGCGAGTCCACAGATGATGCTTTCGCCGTTAGGGTACACGTACCGCTCTTTTGACGGTCATGTGACCATGCAAGGCTCAGATTCTCAAGAATGGTTGTGTTCTCTCTGCAGGTTCTGTTGTTTTCTATGCCGTGCCTTGAGGACTTGTACTCACAGTGTTGTAACCTCTCAAAGGAGGCCGTACATCCCACTACACTTCTCAAAGTAAGAACATTCAGTCCTCAACATCTCTGAAATCACACGCTCTTCAAAATAAAAGTTCTAAATAGTGATGTCGTAGAAGAAGAACTTAGTTTTTCTTAGTTTAAAGAACTTTTAAAGAATCTATAAAGAATCTTTTTTGCAATCAAAAGTTTCCATGGATGTCTCTTGTCTTATTGTGAATGTTGCATGTAATTCTAAAGCCAAATAATATTCATAATCGGCAAGTTGACTGCTTTTCGGCTGATGTAATCAAGGCTGTACAGGGGGAAATAATATTAAAGGGCACCTATTATGCCCTTTTTTCACAGGATGTGATACAAGTCTTGGGTGTCCCCAGAATGTGACTGTGAAGTTGCAGCTCAAAATACCCCACAGAAAATGCCCGTTTTGAATAGAAGTTTTCGTGCCTGTATCTTTAAATGAGTGTTATGTATAATTGTGTCACTGGCTTTTTCTCTGTGTTGTAGTTTGTGATGCTGGACAGTGGAGGTGAACTGCGGCTTCCAGGAGGTCACTGGTCACCCAAAGCAGACGGAGAGAATCCAGTGAAGGACGGTTCGACGCTGGTCAACACTGCGGTCCGCTGCATAAAGGATCAAACCGCTCTGGACCTGTCAGCCTGCACGCAGTGGTCTCTATATTTGGTTTTTAATTTCAGTTCAATACAGTTAAGATTTATTGGTGTGCCGAAGCGGGTTGAATTGTGATTGTTTATGTACAGAAAGTCTATAAGTAACATAATAATTAGAAGAATGTAGAATGTTATTAGAATGTAAAGCATAAACTATGTATTTGTAAGTTCCCTAAATAAATGATTTACAGTTTCATATGTAGAAAAATGCATTTTTAATTACATTTTAACACTACCATTCATAATTTTGGGATCCATAAGTTTTTTTTTTTAAAGAAATTAATACTTTTATTCAGCAAGGATGCATTAAATTGATCAAAAGTGACAGTAAAGATATTTATAATGTTACAAACATTTCTATTTCAAATGAATGCTGTTCTTTTGAACTTTCTATTCATCTGTGCATCCTGAAAAATAAAATGTTTCTACAAAAATATTGGGCAGCACGACGAATATTGGGTTTTCAACGTTGATAATAATCAGAAATGTTTCTTGAGCAGCAAATCAGCATATTATACTGATTTCTGAAGATCATGTGACACTGAAGACTGGAGGAATGATGCTGAAAATACAGCTGCGCATCACAGAAATAAATTACATTTGAACATATTCACATAGAAAAGTTTTTTTTTAATTGTAATAATATTTCACAATATTACTGTTTTTACTGTATTTTTGAACAAATAAATGCAACCTTGGTAAGCAGAAGAGACTTCTTTAATTAACTTGCCGACCCCAAACATAATCCAAAATTTTGATTATGTAAATATAAGAAATACCTCACTTTTTGTCTTTTATATATTCATTAGTAATTTTCACGTATGTCTTCCTGTCTCTGAAGGCACAAGATGGCGGAGCTGAGATATCTTTCCGGAGATAAAATGGAGACGGTTGTGGTGTTGTTGCCAGATGTGTGGAATCTAGTGCCAGCAGAAGAAGACTGGGCAAAACTACCACAAAAACAGCTGGTACAGACTTCAGAGTCTATAAATATTATGCATTAGAAATATGCTTGAAATCACATCAGAGATGACTTCTAACTTGTCTGTATCTTTCCTGTCATCCAGGATGGTGATTTGTCACTTCTAGAAGGTCCATCTGTGGTTTTTCATCCCTCCGCTGGACTCAATCTGTCTGTCGTGTCTCTGTCGTCACTGCTGGAGCCCCAGACACCTCAGATGCGGGACAACTGTGAGGTGGGTACTTTATATATATATATATATATGTATGAATGTATGAATGAATGAATGAATGACCCTGGAGCACAAAAGCAGTCTTAAGTCCTTACCATAATCGCGAGCTTCATCTTTCAAAATAAATGTAAAGACAGAGCCCGAAAGGGGAACAGAGTCGCGTGACAGACACAGTGATGAATATGTGTTTGCAGTACACAAGCCACGGTTAAGACAGCTGACTCCACTGTGACTCCACTGTGATGCTCTCTCTCTCTCTCTCTCTCTCTCTCTCTCTCTCTCTGTCGCACGCACACACACACACGATGCGCAAAACTCCGTCTCTCTCGCTCTCTCGCTCTCGCTCGCTCGCTTGCACACACACACACACACGATGCGCAAAACTCCACATTTGAACAGTCAATAGCAAATACTTATAAACTAATAACAAAACAGTAGCTGGTTCAGGAGCTCCAGATTGTCATAGCAAAGTCAGAATGACCTCCTCTCCTAGGTTCACGAAACGGTCGTCCATAAAATGCATTGCTGTTCTGTTGTAAGTAATCTTAAAGATTCCTAAATGCATCTACTTTCGGAAGGCCAAATAAAGTGCTTTTGCTTTCTCCTAGAAACACACAGCGTCTCCCTGACATGCTGCTTCAACACTAACTGCGGTTACTGAAACCACGCCTTCTTTCTCTGCGTGCACATTTGGGCGGCATTATGCTAATATTTCCACATAGTGAGGTAGATATGTGGGGGCGTGTTAGAGCGAGCCATTTTAGGGGGGCAAGAGTCTTAACTTTGATAAAGAATATGTCTTTGGTTTTGAGACTTTAGTCTTTGCATCTTCAGGGATCTTATCTATGCACAATCAGCTTGTAACACTCCAAAGAGAAAGGAAAACTTGAAATTGCATCATATGACCCCTTTAATAATTCAAATAATATAACGTGTATGTTACATATGTTGTAAACTGGCTCAGTCATGATGTAATCTGCATTAAGATGCACTAGTGTCTTAGCTGACGTCTCTCGTGCTGCTATCAGGTGAGTTTGATGGCGGAGATGTTCAGTGAGATGCTCCAGAGGGATTTTGGGCTTGAGCTGTATCAGTGTCTGTGCCGTCTGCCGCAGGGCCCCAGCGTCAAAGAGGACAACAGCGCTCCCAAGGTACACTAGACTGCACACCTGTGATATTTTAGTATCGCTGAGATACTGTTATAGATTTAATAATAGTTTCAATTAGTTCTTATTTGAATGTTTTCATTTTAATTTTAGTTCAAGTTTAATTCATTTGGTTATGTTTTTGTCTTTTTTTTTTTGTAAGATATATATATATTTTTATTTGAGTTTTAGTTATTTTAGTAAATCAAGTTAAACTAAATGAAAATGAGAACTGCTGGCTTGGAAACTAGCTGAAATAAAACAATTGTAAGGGTTTTATTTTTTATTTCAGTTAAAGTTATTCATTTTTTTCAAGTATGTAAAAATGAAATGTTTTTAGTTAACTATAATAATCCTGCTGCACACACAAGGGTTATTTTAGGATCATTGATGTATACTATTATAGTTTTAATAATATTTTGAATTAGTTTTTGCTTTTAGATTTTGTTTTCTTTTTAATTTTAGTTAAAATTTTAGTAATTTTGCTGTGTGTGTGTTTTTTTTTTAAATGTGTTAATATATAGTTTTTACAAATTCTTATTTCAGTGTTAGTTATTTTAGCACATAAAGTTAAATTAAATGAAAATGAGAAATATTGCCTTGGCAACTAGCTGACAGTTAAGTTTAATGAAATAAGTTTTTGAAATAACAGCGATGGACATCTGGATGTGCAAAGGGAAAGAATACTCCTAAACCATTAAAACTCTGATACTTTATTTGACACTGTTGTAGCATTTTAGCATTGTGTAATTTTATGTGAAGTCCACTTTTAATGCCAGACAAGGTTCCTTTCACAAACACAATTATAAACAAAATTAAATGGCCTGCTGTACCTTTAAGGTTTTACTTCTGAATGTAAAAATGATCTCTGTTATGATTGGCTGACTACTAAATAGGTGTTGATATTTAGTTGTTATTGTAACTTTTTTACGCTATTTTCTCTGTAAAGGAGGATGAGCCCAAAAAATCAGACAAACAGACGACAAAAAAGAAAGGATTGATCGATGCAAAGAAGAGAAAACTCAAAGAGAAGGATGAGGAGAGAGAGACAGAGGACATGGCCCAGACGGACGAGACTGAATCATCTGAAAAACAATCTGAGCATCTAAGAGAGAGTAAAACTCTCAGTGCTGGAGGAGACGGGCAGAGCGCCTCAGACACTCAGCCGTCCAAAGACAGCGTAAGAAATCACATTTCTGCTTGCGTCTGAGCCACACATGTCCAGTGTTTCTCCTCTAACCGTGTCTGTCTGTCTGTCTGTCTGTCTGTCTGTGTGCTTGAAGGACCGTCCTCTGGGCTGGATGGCAGAACTTCCCCGTAAAGTGCTTCTGTCCTGGGTGTTCTTTGACCGTCAGCTGACAGGAAGTCTTCGACAGGCAGACCTGATCAACATCCTGCTGTCTCTCGGCCTGTTTCTCAATCCTGCTCAGGTTTGGTTTCTTCCCAAATATTTTCTTAGAATTCTGCAGAATAAAAGCTTTATGGTTTAACATTTGAAATTAAGAAATTGTAAAGAAGTTAAGGCAGACATGAATATTAGTATTATAATTTTGCTGTTGTTGTCAAATAAAATTATTATAATATTATTGTAATTAATATTGTTATAAATACTTTTTTATTTTACAGAACAATAGTATTATTGAAATGGTAGTATATTTTTGTATCGATTTGTTTGTTTTTGCGTCTTGTTTACTAGAATTTAAATAAGAAAATAAAAGTATTATTATTTTTACTACTGTATTGTAGTATTATTATTATTAAATGCTTGTTTTTTATTTTACAGTACAGTATTATTGCAATAGTAGTATATTTCTTTATTGATTTAATTGGTAACACTTTAAAATAAGGTTCATTAGTTAACTACTTTAGTTAACATGAATTAAAAATACTTCTACAGCATTTATTAATCTTGGGTAATGTTAATTTCAACATTTACTAATGCATTATTAAAATCAAAAGTTGTGCTTGTTAACATTAGTTAATGCACTGTGAACTAACAGGAACTAACAATTGTTTTTTTTATTTTACAGTAATATTATTGCAACAGTAGTACATTTATTCAATGATTTGCTTAATTTTTATAAACTAAAAATGAAATAAAATATTTTGAATAATGATAAATTTAATAATAATAATATAAGTATTGTTGTTGTTTTTGTATTGAATCGAAAAATTGGTTTTCTTTATTTTTCATCAGTTTGTCTTTTTTTGATACATGTCAATAAAATAGCTCAATCTAGCAAAAGATTTAGAGTGAAATATTTGTAATTTGGGCATATTAGAGTATTATCTCGAGAGTTCAAACCTATGAACCAAAACATCCAGCTCAGAGACGAATCACAAACTTTGATTCAAAATGAAAAAGTATTAGAAATTTGTCAAACATACAAAGACCGTGCACTTGAATATCACAGTCGAATCAAAACATATGGTAAAAATATAAAACTACACTGCAAAAAATATATATATTTTACCCAGTATTTTCTTAAATCAATACGTTTACTTGAAAATCAAAATTACATAAGATATTAAGTCTTTTAAGTCCTAAGCCCATTGACATATAATGTTTTCATTTTAAGCATAAGCCCACTTCATTTTGGTATATCTCAAGTCGTTTTGCTTCTCAAGTAAATGTATCTTGATTTAAGAATGTTTAGATATTTGTAGTGAAAAACAAGACAAAAATACTGATGAAGAACATAATTCTTTGCAGTGTATTGACATGCATTCTTCAATTATATGTAAAAACAATGTATTTTAAGTCTATCTGATTTCCCATTTCTCCTCAGGCGCAGGATCTGGTCAGAAAGGCTGCGGTCGGTGGGCTTTGCCTCTACAGAAATCTGTGCAGTCGCTGGTCAGACGCTGATCGGTCAGACGGCAGCATCAGTGCTGAGGGTGTGTGCTGGAAATCATACAATCTGATAAAGCATGTAAACACATTTGTCTGTAGCATTATAAAAATACCAGTGTGTTCCTCTCAGGAAATAAAGCCATGTTGCCCGGCCAGTCATGCAAAGAGAGAGCATCCGCCCGTCGCACCGGTAACACAGATCTGGTGAACTACAGAGGGAACGTCATTAACTTACCAAACCTACTGCAGACGCTGGAGAGCAGCAAAGCGGCCCAACGCGAACTGGAGAAGTGTGTCGCCGCACTGCAATCCAGACTCGGTGAGACTCTAATGCTTTAGAGGAATAGTTCACCCAAATTTGTGAGTGAGTTTGTTTCTTCATCAGATTTGGAGAAATGTAGCATTGCATCAGTGTCTCAGCAGTGGATGCTCTGCAGTGAATGGGTGCCGTCAGAATGAGAGCTGATAAAAACATCCCCAATAATCCACAGCACTCCAGTCCATCAGTTAACATCTGGAGAAGACAAAAGAAACAAATCCATCAAGACATTTTTAACTTCAAAAACTGTTGATTCTGGCCAAAAAACGATTCCTCTATCCATAATATTGCTTTTTACAGAAAAAAAAAAAAAAAAAGTCGAATCAGGAGAGAAATCTGCACAGGTCAAGCACCGTTTACAAGTCAATTCAGCTCTTAACAAATATGTGGGTGGATTTTGATGTGAGAGACAACAAAAGATGGACTTTATCACTGGAGGAAGCGTTATTATGGATTATGGACTCGTATTTTGGCCGGATGCAACGTTTTAAAGTTAAAAGCGTCTCAATGATGGATTTGTTTCTTACAAACACACAGCTTTTGTCTTCTCCAGATGTTCACTGATGGACTGGAGAGGTGTGGATTACTTGTGGATTATTGTGATGCTTTTATCAGCTTTTTGGACTCTCATTCTGACGGCAGCCATTCACTGCAATTTTAAATTTTTTGGGTGTACTGTTCCTTTAAACCTCTTGTGGCGTAATGCTTTATTTCTTCAGTGCTGGGGAAAGTTACTTTTAAAAGTAATGCATTACAATATTGCGTTACTCCATAAAAAAGTTACTAATTACGTTACTTAGTTACTTTTTATGCAAAGTAATGCGGAATGCAGAAGAAGACATTTCAACACACTTCAGCAATAAACAAAGACACAAATGTTCATCTAGAGTAATTTGTGCTTATTATTATGGTTGAACTGGATCATCGAAGGTCAGAAGCAAATAGAATGGGATTAAATACATAAAGCATATTTGTGAAAAAAAAAAAAGTCGAATCAGGAGAGAAATCTGCACAGGTCAAGCACCGTTTACAAGTCAATTCAGCTCTTAACAAATATGTGGGTGGATTTTGATGTGAGAGACAACAAAAGATGGACTTTATCACTGGAGGAAGCGTTATTATGGATTATGGACTTGTATTTTGGCCGGATGCAACGTTTTAAAGTTAAAAGCGTCTCAATGATGGATTTGTTTCTTACAAACACACAGCTTTTGTCTTCTCCAGATGTTCACTGATGGACTGGAGAGGTGTGGATTACTTGTGGATTATTGTGATGCTTTTATCAGCTTTTTGGACTCTCATTCTGACGGCACCCATTCACTGCAATTTTAAATTTTTTGGGTGTACTGTTCCTTTAAACCTCTTGTGGCGTAATGCTTTATTTCTTCAGTGTTGGGGAAAGTTACTTTTAAAAGTAATGCATTACAATATTGCGTTACTCCATAAAAAAGTTACTAATTACGTTACTTAGTTACTTTTTATGCAAAGTAATGCGGAATGCAGAAGAAGACATTTCAACACACTTCAGCAATAAACAAAGACACAAATGTTCATCTAGAGTAATTTGTGCTTATTATTATGGTTGAACTGGATCATCGAAGGTCAGAAGCAAATAGAATGGGATTAAATACATAAAGCATATTTGTGTTGTTTAACATTTAATTATTGCAGGTTTGCGTCATATTCTGAGTTGCATTATTTTTATTCATTTTGAGGAATACTGAATCTGTGTTTTTTTTTTTTTGTGAGTGAGATGAATTAATGAATATTCATATTTATTTTAGAACTACAGTAACATCTTCTGATTTCTCTCAGCATGGAGACAGGAGAGCTGTCAATCAATCAATTGGAAAAAAAAGTAACTTGCGTTACTTATCTGAAAAAGTCACTCTGATATTCTCTTGTAAATTAAAAAGTAATGCGTTACTTTACTAGTTACTCTACCCCCAACACTGTCTGCCATTATATTCCAGTATCATGTCATGATATTTTATGCATGCATTTGAATGCGTGTCCGGTGTGTGTATATGTGATTCAGAGGCAGCAGAAGCGAGGAAGGTGTCTAATGAACAGGAGCAGGGCCAACAGAAAGAGCTGAAGAGGAAACTGGAGAAATCCGAGACACTTAACAAAACATACGAGAAGAGTTTGAGAGAAAACAGCAGTCAGATGATCGCTGTCATTGAGAAGATGCAGAGGATGGTTGAACAGGTGACATCCTTAAATGTTTGTTTTATATGCATTTTATAAATTGTATTCTAATAGATTTGTGTTTTATATGCATTATAGACATTATTTGTTTTGTCATATCTTTAATAATACACTGTGTGTTTACCGTTTAGACAACAACCCTCACAAATGCAAATGCAGGAAAGGATGAGAAGGCATAGAGACACAGAAGCTCATCAGATGGTGATGCAGTAGCGTTTGGACCGAGGAGAATAAAAGAAACCTGCAAAATAAAAATTAAAAATGTTGTTAGCTTTTAAAAAACAGGTAATTTTTTTTTTGCTGAATAAATGTGTATTCATGCACATAGATATGGAAAGAACTGCATTCGTGGACATTTGTAAATGTTTTTATTAATAAATATGTTTTGCTGGCTTATTTTAGAATGGATATGCATTCATATGAAACTATATACTGTGGTTAATATGGAAAGGAAACGTGCTTTTATTTATTTAGTGTTATTTAATTTTCTTTGGTTTTTAGATTCTGGCAGCTATGAAACTAAGATCCTTCCACACAACTGACAATTTCATAAACACAGATGCAGATACGCAAACCTGTTCATAGCCTTGTGTAATGAAACAAATTCTTTTTTACATGTGAAGTTGAAACGGTCAGTGTTTAAAGATTGGAAATCTTTTTTTTTTTTTTTTGTGACGAATTGGATTTGTTTGCATTTCAGTTTTGTTATTGTGTACTAAAGCATTTCCTTACTGTTAGAAACCGTCCACCGCCATTAATATTCTTAAGTGTTGGTATGAGGATAGTCTAGTGTTTAGTCTAGACTAAAGTATAGTGAAAGTTCAGTTATTTAGGAAATACTGCCTGAATTCGCCCTTGCAATTAAAAGAGTTTGACGTCAAACCAATCCAGAAAAACAGCTCTATATGTTCATTTACTCTGATGAGCACTTGTGAGAATGAATGCAATTTAATGTAAAGTCTTATATAATTTAGAAAGAGTTGCTAACAGTAAGATATCGACTTATTTTGGAAAATGTTTTTGTCTTTTTCTCAGGGACCATTTATATTTTCTAATAGCCTGTTTCTGAACAGTTGCATGTTTATTTGTCTTCCAACAGAATTTAGTGACTGAGTAAAGTTAAAAAAACATATCTCATGTAATACATTTTTTTCTTTTCTTTCTGTCTGCTTTTGTAAAACACAAAAACTACATTTTGTTCAGTGACTCGGCCAGTTAATCATGTATGAAAATGTATTTGTCATTCATTGGGAGGAGTCCCAAAAGAAATAAAACGGCTCAAAATATACTCATAGCTCAATCGTTTTTTGTATCTTAAAATATCAACAACAACAAAATTTTCATCGTGTGTTTTTGACCCACCGCGACAGAGGCCGCTATTTCTTTCCAGCTTTAGTGTACGTATTTATGAATGAACAGTTGCATGTTTATTTGTCTTCCAACAGAATTTAGTGACTGAGTAAAGTTAAAAAAACATATCTCATGTAATACATTTTTTTCTTTTCTTTCTGTCTGCTTTTGTAAAACACAAAAACTACATTTTGTTCAGTGACTCGGCCAGTTAATCATGTATGAAAATGTATTTGTCATTCATTGGGAGGAGTCCCAAAAGAAATAAAACGGCTCAAAATATACTCATAGCTCAATCGTTTTTTGTATCTTAAAATATCAACAACAAAAAAATTTTCATCGTGTGTTTTTGACCCACCGCGACAGAGGCCGCTATTTCTTTCCAGCTTTAGTGTACGTATTTATGAACAGTACAGTAGGGAAGGCTTATCTCATTAATAATAATTAGGTCATTGATGACGTTGCTTGGTGAACGTCCTGTAACGTCAAGGCACGTACTGTATCTTAATTAATATTCATAAGCCAGTCCCATGCGCAGAGCGAGCCGTTGAACGCAAAAAAAAACAAACGTCACTACACGTAATTAATATTCATGAGAAATTAATGTTCACAATTTCGTGCCTTTTATAAACAAAGATAATATTTTTCAGTTATATAAAATGTCATGTGATGTGTTGTAAACGCCAGGATGCAATACAATCTGAGCGCAAAAAAAAAAAAAATCAGGAAATGAGATATTTTGAGTGACAGCTGCGTAGTTTCACTTTCATTTACCGATCGGATATCACGCACAGGTTCGTTCAAAACCTTTGTCCCCTGAATTCAATGAAACCTTCGATATATTTTGCTCATGTGTGCCATTGATAACCAGCTGACCAGCGCTCGTATCCAAAAGAAACAGTATTATTAAACCTGATATTTCATCATGCTCCTCGCCCAGTCTTGCTGTTTAAGCTGCTTTACATTTGCAATTTTATTCTGTGGTCTTTTTGTTGGCAACCATGGAATGACTGTCGACACAGACACAAATGCATCGCCTTTTCCCTGGGACAAGATAAGATTGCCAGAAACAGTGAAGCCCCAGCACTATGACCTCTTGATACACCCCAACTTGACCTCCCTGACCTTCACCGGAGTGGTCCAGATTCTCATAGAGCTAGAGCAGGACACCAGAGCCATCATCCTTCACAGCAAGAACCTGCAGATCTCCAAAGCTCAGCTCTTGGGCTCCAGACATCCTCAGGATCTGCAAACCAGTGAGTTTGAAGCCTATGAACAGATCGCGCTCTTCTCTGATGGCTTCACATTTGAGAAAGGAAACCATGTGGTGCATTTGGAGTTCTCCGCCAACTTATCAGATAGTTTTCATGGCTTTTATAAAGGCAGATATATCACAAACAGCGGAGAGGTCAGGTAAGACAACCGCTGCATTGCTTTTTATGTCTTGGCTCTTGATTAACTGGCCAAAGTTTTACTCGGAATGTATTTGAAGTGGCTTTGAAGAATAGAAAACCCCTTCAAAATGATGATTTTTCTTTCTGCAGGATGATGGCATCCACTCAGTTTGAGGCGACACATGCTCGAGCTGCCTTCCCTTGTTTTGATGAACCTGCATTCAAAGCTAACTTTACCATCCGTGTGCGCAGAGAATCCAGGCACATTTCCATATCCAACATGCCCAAGGTACACATAATGAAGCATTTTATTCTGTTAAATATCTGGGTTTGATCTTTATGGTGCCGGTGAAATTGACCTGGATTTATACTATGAAAAGCCAAAAAAATCAGGTAAAAACTGTAAATCTTTAACATTAATAGTTCTCACTCATTGCAAATAAATAAACATGAGAATATAGGATTTTTAAAATGGTATTCAATAACATTATATTTCACAAACAGTATTGTACATATTTTTAGGAACATTTTCAGCAGTTGCGAAGCACTAATTCTGTGTTCTTTTCTGAAGCTCAAACTGTAGAAGCATGACGCTCGCGACGCCAAGATCATGGGTTTGATTCCCTGCAAAATGAACATGCGTGAACTGATCAAAATGCGGTGTAAATTTCTCCAGATAAATGCACCTGCCGAATGCATAAATGTAAATGTAGTTGAGAATCTAACAAATACATAATTTAAACAAATCTTTTCTTATATTCTGTGCGGCTGCCTTTAACCGTGAGATCATAACAGAAATGTTGTACGCCCTTTGAACACATTCAAGTCAGAATTTTGAATGCATGTTTATTATCCTAAATGAGAAGTCACAAAATATGCATTAAAAAAAGCCTTGGTAACTCAACAAATGTATCATCACAACTATCAGTCTGTGTTTTTAAATGACACCATGCAATTGGTATTTTCTCAGTATATATTTCTTTCGCAGACCATTTCATGTAAGTGTAACCTAATGCAAGGTTATTTCTTCCAATAGCTGAGAACTGCAGAACTGGCTGACGGGCTGCTGGAGGATCAGTTTGACACGACGGTGAAGATGAGCACCTACCTGGTGGCCTTCATCATCTGCGATTTCCAGTCCATCAGTAAAACAAGCCAGCATGGAATCGAGGCAAGTCCATAAGCGTTATAAACACACTTTTTTATCATACCCATACCTCATTCCACTTTCCATTGACTCTTCATAACCTGAATCCTGATATAGATATCAGTGTATACGGTTCCTGAGAAGATCAGTCAGGCGGAATATGCTCTCAACACCGCCGTCACTCTGCTCGACTTTTATGATGATTATTTTGACATCCCGTATCCACTTCCCAAACACGGTGAGTGTTTGCTGGTCAAAATGGTATAACGTATTACTATCTGCTTTCATCTGGCAGGAAATCATTTGCAATAACCTAGTTTTGAATATAATTGTACTTGCAGATCTTGCAGCGATCCCAGATTTCCAGTCAGGCGCTATGGAGAATTGGGGCCTGTCGACTTACAGAGAGTCCGGTTTGCTCTTTGACCCTGAGAAATCTTCTTCCTCGGACAAACTGGGAATCACCAAAGTCATTGCTCACGAGCTAGCACATCAGGTTGATATTTCTGTTAATAATTCGATCTAAGTAATGGATAATGCACAGGCAGTCTGCCTTTATCACTAGGTATATATATATATATATATACAGAGCTGGGTAGATTACTTACAAATTGTAGTCTGTTACTGATGACAGATTACATGATGAAAACTGTAGTTGGCAGTGTTGGGCTATGTGACGATGACATTACACACCCAGAGTCTTCCAGGTTTGAAGTGTTTTTGTCCAGACTTCCATTATGAATAATTTACTGCCATTGTGTGAATAATATATAATCATGTAATCCATAATAAGTAACTGTAATAGGATTATGAGCATTTTAAAATGTAATATACTCTTATTACAAGTACTTAATTTTTGGAATCTGATTACATGATCCAGAGTACACGTAATCAGTTACTACCCAGCACTATATATATATATATATATATGTGTGTGTGTGTGTGTGTGTGTGTGTGTGTGTGTGTGTGTATATATATATATATATAAGTGCTGTCAAACGATTAATATATATAAATACACACACATGCATGTATATATTTCGGAAACATTTTTTATGTTTATATATTAAATATATTTATTTATAATATAAATATAGACATGTAAATACATGTAAATATTTTCAAAATAAATACTGTATGTGTGTATTTATATATACATAATAAATATACACAGTACACACATATATTATGCAAACAAAAACTTTTATTTTGGATGCGATTAATCGCGATTAATCATTTGACAGCACTTATATACTGTATATATATATATATATATATATATAAAAGTTGATTCAAAATGGTATTATTATGTGAAAAGGAAGAGAGCTAAATGAAATGAGACATGAAACTATCACAGATATGTAGAAAATCTTTCGCCAGATTCAATTATTTATGCTTATCATTCACATGAATCTGTTGTGCAGTGGTTTGGAAACCTGGTCACGATGCAGTGGTGGAATGACCTGTGGTTAAACGAGGGCTTTGCCAAGTTCATGGAGTATGTGTCCGTCAACATCACCCACCCTGAGCTGCAAGTGGTGAGAGCGAATAATACAGCTAAGAGTTGAGATTGTGATGACATGTAATTATAAATGGCATGAGTGATCTGATTTCGAGTGCCTCTATTTTAGGATGATTATTTCCTGGAGAAGTGCTTCACCGCCATGTCTGTGGACTCTTTAACCTCCTCACACCCCATTTCCACTCCAGTGGAGAATCCAGCGGAGATCAGCGAGATGTTTGACGACGTTTCCTACCGGAAGGTTTATCTCTCTCTAGAATCCTTATAGTTGACGTTGCCCTGATTAATATTGTGTTGCAGGACAGTTTGACCCACATTTGATTTTTAAAAGGCTTGAACCGCTGGTTAAACTCTTTATTTATTTATGGGGAAGTCGTGGCCTAATGGTTAGAGAGTCGGACTCTCAACCCAAAGGTTGCGGGTTTGAGTCTCGTACCGGCAGGGATTGTAGGTGGGGGGAGTGAATGTACAGCGCTCTCTCCCACCTTCAATACCACGACTGAGGTGCCCTTGAGCAAGGCACCGAACCCCCAACTGCTCCTCGGGCGCCGCAGCATAAATGGCTGCCCACTGCTCCGGGTGTGTGTTCACGGTGTGTGTGTGCGCACTTTGGATGGGATAAATGCTGAGCACTAATTCTGAGTATGGGCCACACGTCACTTATTTCTTTTTGAAATTTGGTGACTATTTCTCATTCAGGGTCACGAGTGTGCATGCAAAGTTTCGTCACATAGTTGTGGTGATGATAGTGGTGTTAGGACCCCCATTTATTTCCATCAGATCTACACTTTGAAAAAAAGCAAAGAGTCAGGTAAAACAGACTAAAATATGAAATACATGATAACTTATGGCATTCAAGACTCAAAATTTAGAATTTGCTGTTCTTGGAGTTTCTCAGTCAAAAAAAAAATCAGTGAAATTATGTTTTTTGGTTGTTAGTTTTTTTTGGGATCTCTATTACTAGTCTGTTGCATCACTGAAAAAAAGCGTGAGAAATCCATTTTACCCTCACAAGCTTCGGTGATGATAGTGGTGTTAGGACCCCCATTTATTTCCATCAGATCTACACTTTGAAAAAAAGCAAAGAGTCAGGTAAAACAGACTAAAATATGAAATACATGATAACTTATGGCATTCAAGACTCAAAAATTGAGAATTTGCTGTTCTTGGAGTTTCTCAGTCAAAAAAAAAATCAGTGAAATTATGTTTTTTGGTTGTTAGTTTTTTTTGGGATCTCTATTACTAGTCTGTTGCATCACTGAAAAAAAGCGTGAGAAATCCATTTTACCCTCACAAGCTTTGAGAACCAGACATAAAGGCAGAGGCTATTTACACAAGTACATAAAGCAATAAATACTATTATTAGATACAATTTAGACTTAGTTATATTCATTTGTAACTCAGTGTGCAAATAGTCATTGCAAGCAGTCATGACAAAAAAAACATCATAGAAATATTTTCACTTTTGCGTCTGTGCAGCTAATTTTGAACATAAAATATGTGGGTGAAAATGACCCCAAACACAATAGAAGTTCATAATTTCTCATATTTTATTTTTTTTTGTCTCGAGAACCAGACATAAAGGCAGAGGCTATTTACACAAGTACATAAAGCAATAAATACTATTATTAGATACAATTTAGACTTAGTTATATTCATTTGTAACTCAGTGTGCAAATAGTCATTGCAAGCAGTCATGACAAAAAAAACATCATAGAAATATTTTCACTTTTGCGTCTGTGCAGCTAATTTTGAACATAAAATATGTGGGTAAAAATGACCCCAAACACAATAGAAGTTCATAATTTCTCATATTTTATTTTTTTTAGTCTCTGATAAGGTGCAATAGAGGTTTTATGTTTTTGCATGACAGTGTTGATTTTTGGTGAATTGCATGGAAACGGTCAGGGTCAGTTTGACCCCCAACACAAATGGAGTACCCATATTTTCAACACAAAAGAAGGGTTCATTTGTTTTAATATTTCTACTTGTTCTTCATAATCTCTGAAGGGAGCATGTATCCTGAACATGCTGAGGGATTTCCTGACGCCAGAGGCTTTCAATGCCGGTATTATACACTACCTGAAGACACACAGCTACCAGAACACAGTGAACGCTCACCTCTGGGAAAGTCTTACCAATGTAAGTGACCTCTGTCGGTTCCCGTGTATGTTCTCCAGTCCTTGAAGTAATTTAAACGATTGCTCTAAAGGCCAACTGCATTTCAATCTGTTCAGATCTGCACTTCTGATGAATTGGATTCAGGGAGATTAAAACATGATGGATTCTGTTCCAAAATCAGGGCTAAATCTCCGGCCTCTGTGAGTGCAAGAAATCATTTTACATTTAATATTTTAATTTGATTTAAATCTATTAAAATAATGTATAGTCTAGATTTACAAGAATTTAATCATATTTCTTCACTAAAAATGTGTGTCATTTATATTAGATATGAACCACAAACCAAATAACTGATCAAATGAATGTACTAAATCATAAAAACCTGGCAGAAATGGTTCATGGAGGACAGTGTTGATGTTCGAGCCATTATGGACACCTGGACGCTGCAGGAGGGCTTTCCTTTAATCACTGTGGAGGTCAAAGGTCAAGAGGTCACCCTCAAACAGGAGCGCTTCCTTAGAGAAGCAAACACTTCGAAGACTACAAAGTACGTACCGGCTATGGAATATTAAACTACTGTTTGATGCGTACTATGCATACTATACATTTTAAAAATAGTATGTGAAACAGTCTGCAAAAGTTAATGTGTCATACTGTATTATGCTTTTATAACTGTATGATATGGCATTCTGAAAAAAGAAGAAGTAAAAAAGAAGATAATAGAAGAAAATCATAGGTGATATTTTTTTTTGTTTTATTTTTCACCTTGAAAAGGTCACGATGATTGCGTTGCATTGTGGAATACAGAGATATTTTAGTATTATTTGTATACTTTAGTAGTATTTAGTAATATTACAGTAGCTTTTTATATTTTCTTTTTTTTTTTCTTTTTCTTTTTTAGTTTACTTTTTCAGTCTCTTAGGTTTTTTTTTTTATTATTTAAATCTATATAGGTTTAATTTATTTTTATTATTTTGTTTGTTTAGTTTTAGTCCTTTTTTTTCAGTTATTTGCCAAGGCAATATTTCTGTTTTTGTATAAGTTTTTTTTAAGTTTAAGTTATTCATCTAATATTGATATTTTAATTTCAGGTTTAAATTTAAAAAAAAAATTTTTGGATTTTGTTAACAATAACTACACTGGTTTTATGAAAAAATGTGTCTACTATGCACAGTATGCATAGTAAATAAACTAAGCTAGTATGCTACTCTCAATATAGCCTTAATGTTTTATTATTCACTCAAAGCAGTAATTGATTATTTAATATTTGTTGTTTGTCTATTTAATTTCTCGCAGTGCGTCAAGCTTCCTGTGGCAGGTTCCTCTGACTTACATCACCAGTCACAGTAGTGCAGTGCAGCGTTTCTTGCTGAAAAGTGAAAAAGGTGTCTCACGCTATCAGATATTAAACCAACCCAACATATTTACCTTGTGTTATGCTGAAATCTGACTGTGTCTGCAGATGTGTTGTACCTGCCAGAGGAGGTGGACTGGATTAAATTCAACGTGGACCTGCGGGGGTATTATATTGTACATTATGAGTCGAGAGGTTGGGATGCTTTGATCAAACAACTCCAGCAGAACCACAGTGTGTTCAGCAGCAACGACAGAGCCAGTCTCATCCACGACATCTTTCAGCTGGTCAGGTGAGGGAACTGAACTTGTGTTCCTTAAAGGAATAGTTCACCTTGCTCTGAAAATCTGCTCACCCTCATGCCATCTAAGATGTAGATCATCAGATTTGGAGAAATGTAGCATTGTGTCACTTGCTCAGCAGTGGATGCTCTGCAGTGAATGGGTGCCGTCAGAATGAGAGTCCAA